AGCGCCCTTTTATGATATCGGATATGCAGAAGCGATTGCCTACCAAGTAGCATCACGGGCCTACTTAGACAACCCAGATTCCATGGCTGTGGGACCAGGGTCATGTGACAGCCAAAATCGGCCGAGTTAACCTTATCTGTCTGCCTTTTTCTTGTATATTCCGGGGTCATGTGGGCATACACAAAACAACCACAAAATGTTCACCTTTCACTCATACGACAATCGTACAATGGAATGTGTCAAAACTATTAATGACGAACGATGCATCGTATGTGCTTCAGTGTGTGAAACGCGTTAGGCGGAGGCTTTTGACTACGGCAATCACAATTTCAAATGATAGTCTAGTCATACCGACTCAAACTCATTGTTGAGGTGGCAGCGAAACAGGTTATCTCGGCTTGGATCCAACGTTCATTGCTCACACTATAAACAATCACAAGTGCTTTTTAACGGTTACCACAACTGTGACTCGACTACCGAATAAATAACCAAACCTTACTCAGGACTGGGGATCAGGCTGCAGTGGCTTGTTCCGAGTGTGGTCTTTATGGTACACTCGAGGGACCCTCATTAGAAACTAGTATACGTGGAGGTACGGAACAGCCCGTGACGTACGAGAAGACGTAGTCTAATCCTCATAAGCCATTACTTGCAATGATGGTCCGTCATCTGCACTTTGTTTTTGTAATAGAATACGGTGGAGGTGATTAGGGTAGAAAAGATGCTGATCAAGTGCACGTCAGTAAAAACGAATTCATATGTAAAATATCGCGGTGTACTCTCGTGAAGAATTGCGTTTACTTTAGCTTTCGACAAAATACTAAATGCCTGTCTAGGCGGCTTTCCTATTGCTAAAAGGATTATGTAAAATGGCCTTTATTTTATTGTTATGGTAACTGAGCAGTGCAAAGTCAGCTGGCTGAGCAAATCTACAGGCTATAGCAAGAAGCACACAAAACTCGAATGTATGGCTGTTGACTTGTAAGACGGTTACTTACCTTCAGGCATGGCTGGCTGGGTTGGGAGGGTCTCTGTTACGTCCGAGTGGTCCTTTGGTGACGAAGGACATACTGGTTCGGAGATGGAGTCAGGTGAGGCAGGCGGCTCAATGTCCTCAATGGTTGTCCTCTGCGTCTCGACCACAACACACTGAGCGACCACATCTTTTAGTAGGGAGGGAGAGACCCTGTCACTTAACGGAACCGAATAATACCCGTATATGAATGGTAAAAAAAGGCAAACGTAGATGTAACCGTTGTAAAACGATCAAGCACTTTTACCACATCAGTCACTCTTTCTAGTACTGCTAACTAGCTCGTGGGGCACGCAATATTAGCTCCTAATTTACATATATGTACGGTCAGTACTTCGTGCCTCTCTAGGGGCACGATGACAAAAGGAACGGTAGGTTTTATAGGTTTAAAAGTAAAGTTTCTAGCAGACTTTTTTAACCGACAGTATGTTAGAAATATGCAATATCGCTCGGCGGATCCCGCCTTCAAATGCTCGCCTCCTCCACATACTACACTATCAGTAGGCCCAACTAACAGTTTACCTTCTGCGAGGTATAGTCAACATGGTTTGCCCCACGACCGGACAACGTTAATGTAGTACACCGAACCGGGAACTCATCAGTCTTAAGAATTAGAGAGTTTCAAATAGTTCGGACCCAGGTCGCTGCAAAAAAGGGCATAGGAATGACGATATCGTCCTCGAATACATTTAGTTCGCGGAGCTTTATGAGCATAGAAATTGCTGACAACTGAAACGCGAACTTTTCATCGCCGCTGCGATTTTAGTGAACGGTTATTAATGCGAAACTGTGAGCGTGCCTTAGGAGCACTCTTCGCGTGAAGTATTAGGGCATTATCTCTAGTATAACGGTCCGCATAGGCCATGACGACATGGCGAGTATATTATTTGGTAAGTTGCCAGTCGCTCATCTCATGAGCTGAGCGATGTTACCGGTCATCGAACGGAGTTGCCTATATGGAGGAATCGAAAGCAGGTTTAGCCAAGCATCGGCTTGACGCAGTCCGTCGAAGCATAGATACTACTATTAGACCTTCAATCTTCAAGCTTAATCGCCGAAGAAGAGAGCAAATTGAGCTCTCTACATCTTCACGCATGCAGAGGTGCAACCAGCAACACAGTCGACGTCACTTAGATAACGCAGGATTGCAGCCGTATTAACTGTGACTACATAATTGAAGACAATGAGCTAGGTTCGGTCTCTGTGATACTTCTGGCAACATGTTTGTTTCAGAAACTGCAGCAAAAAGTAAACATTTTGCAAGTTATTGTACCTAGATATCGAGACAATCTAAATTATAAAGGGAAATGGACTTTAAAGTGACACTTATTCCGACCGAGAGTAAATTTACGCAATGCCACTGCGGTTGTTGGCTGAAAATACTAAGTGGATAACACAACTTACACCGGTGGATTATTGTCGCCTAAAATGTGTTCATCGATTTTTAGGCTACTGGCAGCAGCGTCATCTTCTGGTTCATAGAGAGAAGTGTCACCCTCAGTATACACTGGCTGAGGCGAGTGGGGAGTGTGTCGATTTCCTTTCTGTAGAATAGACGTCTAAAGGGTTAAAGTGAATTTTCTTTTAGGACAGTTAAAATGGTGAGCCTTTGAGAAGTATGTTGTTAACTTGTAGCTCGAATAACTTCGAAAGGATCTATTAAAGGGAATATTAGGGGCGGCATCTGTAAAAAATTTGTATGATGTTAGTGGTG